TCCTAACTTCACACACAGACATTATACAATCACATGACTAGCATACATAGGATTAGCAGACAGTGAGCTTCTATTCAACACCCCACATGGCCCCCTTTTATACCATTTCTGGGGCCAACACCCCCACCTGTGGGTGCAGCAGTGATCTGGCTGCTCCCCTCAAATTCTGTAACGTGACAAGCAGTAGTGTGGATAGTCTGCTGCTGCTATTTCAAAATAATGACTCCCCAGAGTCATTCGAACTAATTATTTCCAAATAGCTATTTCTGGAGTTATTCGTTCAGAATAAGTTATTATGAAATAATTTCCTTGTGTAGACATGCCCACAATGAGCCATAGGAGAAACATGTCCCAATTAGAATATAGGCAACAGCAGCTCTTGTGAGTCATGAAAACTGTAAGGCTATGTGATTACTTGTGTGACCCTGGACTCAATCTTAGGCAAGTAACATCTCACAAGCGGCAATGGTGCGATTTATTTGGCCCAGTAAAATTCCATGCACAGGGTAGAGTATTACAAATGTGAAATCCCCAACCTGTCTTCATTTCCTGTTTCGTTTCTCTGGATTGGCTTTCCCACAAAAATGCTCTTAACAAGATCTGCTGATGCCCAAAGAATTTGAGTGACTCCTGAAAAGACTTTGGCAAGCTAATAATCTATTCTCTCATCGCTGAAGACTCGGATTTTGACAGAGTTCAAAGAGGAACTTATGAGATCCCTTTCTAGCTTTTCAAAGCCTGATTTGAACTTAATCATCTTCACGAGTTTTCTGTCAACTGCAAATTTGACCACCTCACATTTTACCCCTTTCCCCAGATCATTTATGAATATGTTGAAGAGGATTTGCCATGTGCTGGTTTCAGAGGTTCAGGAGCAGTTAGTGGACAGATCAGTGGGTGGAGGGTGGGACAGTGTTTTGTGCAAAACTGGGTTTTTTCTAAGGTTTTTATTGTGCAAAGCAGCCCTGTCTACCTTGCGGTTTTTCGTGCAAAAACCTCTTCCACAAAAGGATCGGAAAAGAATATACAAATGAGAGTGCAACATATGCTAATGAGTGCTCCATTTGTATTTTCTCTTCCACAAGAGGGAAGCAGTGTAGATTTAGCATTTGTGTCTGGAGTTATGATCACTGGCAACATATAGGCATTTTTCACATGTGTTCTGGGTTATGCCCCTCACATGGATAAGGGCAAACCACTGTATGTTGAAGGCCCATTAAGGAAACCTAACTTTCACAGCCTTGGTCTACACTATGGAGTTATTTCAAAATAACAAGCGGGGCATCCGCACTACCAAGTTGGTTAATTCAAAATAATAACTCCCGCTTTCCATGGTGAATAATGCTTATTTCAAAATAGTTATTTAGAAATAGCACTGTGATGGACCGGGCGAGCAAAACCCCTCCAACACCCCAGCAATATCCGTGCCCCAGATGGCCCCGGGCCTCATACACAGGTGTGGGAGGGTCTTAGCACCCGATCCCACCTACCCCGAACAAATTCTGTCCGGTTCCAAGAAACCAGCCACAGATCCCTGGTCAATTTACCCTCTGGACCTTACACACACCAATTCTTTAGCATCTAACATCTAAAGGTTTATTATTACAATAAAGAAAAGCATGAGAGTGAGGTTGTTAAAGGATAGTACGTTACATGCATCGAATCTCCCAGTTCTCGATGCAGGCTCTAGCAGAGATGTTACAGCTGCTGGTTTAAAAGTCCTTGTTGCGCATCCTAGCATCAGGATGGGACCACAGGTCCTTCCGGCTCTTCGATCCCTGCACTGCTGCCTCTGGGATGAAGTGC